TCCCACAATGAGTTGTTACTCAATTATTTTCAATGTCAATCTAATCTAGGATCTCTGGTTCATACTACAATGTAATTTTTGGAAATAGAAACTAAGCAATCCGTTCAATCTATGTCTATGTAAGATATGTAAGAATGTTAACTCTGTTGTTCAAAAATAATTCATTGAAATCGATAAAAATTACAAGAACTATATTTAATTCACTCTTAGTGAAAGAGAATAGCATATCAGTTGTAAATGTTTTTTTTGTAGCTTGAACTTCAGTATGCAATTTTACGAGATGGAGAAGATATTTTTTTCAAGCATATAATTTGAAAATTTTTATTTCAAAACGTTTTTATGGTAGCAAATGAGGTTACACTATTCATTGTAAGTTTATCGTATTTTTACACAATAGTAGTAAAATATTAGGAGAGATCAAGATTATTCACTCTTTGATTTAATTCCTCTTTGAACCCAATATGATTCATATTATTTTGTTTTTTTTGTTATATTTCGAAGTTGTCATATGAAATATCGAGAGTGTTAAGTTAAAATAAGATAATCTTGTTGATAAATAATTACAAATGTTGATGAAATACTGGAAGAAATGAATGACACTAAACTAGTTCTGATTGTAGAGTCGATTTCAGAATAAACAATTTCATTATAGTTAAGTCATAAATGATATAATTATTCGCAGGTTTCGATGATTTCATATTATTTTAATACAGAATGAACTGTAATAAATCTAGTTAGTAAACATTTTCCCATTTCCAGACACATTCCATTGATGCAACCTCCAGAGAACGATGTAATTGATTTTTTCTCTCTCTCTGTCTTCTCTATTATTCTAGAAGCGTTCTTTTCATATGATTCCGTCTCTAATATTATTTGTTATAGACTATTCTCCAATCATGTGTCGACCCTCTCAATTTTTTTCTCTTTTCTTTTCTTATATAGTAATACGAGAGTAATAGCCAATAGCATAGAGCAATGCAAGAGATTATTTTGACAGAAAAAAATTCTCTCAATCTCTCTCTCTCTCGCGCGCGCGCGCGTGCATCTATAAATGCCCGTGCATTCTTAACATTTTGTTCATTCAATATTCATCAACGATGACGGTAAGACAGATTCACTTTACTTCTGTTACGTTTCTCCTTTTCTTTTTATCTCTGATTTCTTATCATACATGCGAAACTTGAGAATTGAGTTCAATTTAAGGTTCAACAAACGATACATATATCGAGAAAAATATGGATCTTTTTGAACCGGAAAACTTGAAGTTTGTAATCTGGAAGAGTACTCTTCTAATTGAATTCATCTTATAAGTTTGATATAAATAAATTTATTCTAGATCTTATCATTATGCAATGGATTAATAGATAAAAAATAAGAATGTTCAACATTGAATCAAATCACACAATTCGATCAGATTATTCTAAAAATTACTTTTTGTTTTGGAGTCAAATAAATATACTATTGGTTGATCATACCATTTTTGATATACCAATGGTAGGTTATCATCGTATTCAATAATTGGCCATTAGAGTAAAATACAAGGATATCTATGGATATGTCTATAAGTCACTGATTTGTTTAATAGAAAGAAAAATCATAGAGACTACTAACGTAGAGGTATGCATAACATGATTCAATGATTACATTTTGTTAATCATATACAAAGATCGAAATGAAGTCTATCAAAAGTATTTTGGTGGATCATAGTAGTAGATCTTGTTTCAATATTTCTCCGCGTCAAATTAAAACACAGAAAATCCTCTAATGAGACTGTTCTATTGGACAGTATCGAAATGTCTCGTTTTTTTTGGTAGATATATATATATATACTCTATTCATGGTTTTTTGTTGTTTATATTAACTATTTTTGCAGAACTTCTTTTGATGCACAATGGGTTCGGTGATGAAATGGTTTTCTTTAATTACAACTGAATCTCTTTTTCTTTCAGATAAACTCAATTGACAGGAACAAAAGTGGGTGAACTAATAAATCAATATTCAGATGAAAATGGTTTGAATGATGATGAGAATGAATTATCGTTTGTTTTTTCTTCTTTGATCAAGAAACATTTCAGTTATTATAATCTGTTGGTTGGAATTGTTTTTCATAATTATTAGACAATATCAATGCAATCGATTTAGATAATGAACTATTCAAACAAAGAATTAACAAGTAGTTTTGAATATCTATGTTCGTAATACATATGCAATCAGTTTAATCAATGAACTATGTAAGCTTGCTGATCAAACACAAATTTACATAACGATTCAATGAAACATCATCACATTCATCAATGAGATGTCCGTCAGATGAAAGAATTAAAAGATGACCACATGTTGTTCATGCTATAATTTGAGCATTGCAATGTGCAATAATATGAAAAAGAAAACACGGAAAAAGATGATTGTAACAGAATAGAATTCGGATGTAATCAGGGATGCCACCTCATGAAGTCGAAAAAGCGGAAAGTTGACTTAGAAAAGCGGAAAATTGCGGAAACTTATCTCGTTGCGAATTTTTAGCAGTTATGAGAATTTTCAACTTTTTTTCATATCTACAGCGTTCTATTTTTATTTTAACAAAATTTTAAAACATAAAATACTGTTGAAACTAATAAGAATGACTATGCTTCACTCCATGGTATACAAAAGTACCTTCTGTAGCTTCTGTTTCTTCAACCTCCTTGTTAGATTTCATAGTCCATGTTGTCAATTGTCGATTTATACGAAATGATTTATGCTGTTGTTATGTCTTTTCAATTTTATGTGACGATCAATATCATTTTTTCCACCATCACATACTGAAAAATGTTCGTTAGAGGCAATACAACGCACTTTAGCTGAATCTGATTTATACTCTCGTAAAAATGATGCGAACTGAGGATTAAGTAGCCATTGTGGATTAAACATGCCCTTTTTATCTTTTGATAAGCGCCTAGTATGGCTTCAACATTTTTGCTTTCATTTGATTTCAGCATTGGTGATACTGTTATTAAATGTTCACGATCTGTTTCATCATTTGTGATCTCAATATTTTTAGATCATAAAAAGACGTTTAAATTTTCGAATTTTTAGATTTTTTGTGTAAATATAGTAGCCAAAATAATTTGAAAAGGAGTTAACTATCAGTTGAGAGCAGAATGATGTTTTTAATTCCCGAACTGGCAATTAGTGCGCGAGCTCTTTAACATAGAAAAACTTTATGTGTTCGTTCATTGATTTTATGGATGACATAATAAGAATGATGATTAACTGTATGCGTAAACAGTCAGACTTTATTCGGCAACAATAAGTTTTGCTCTGAACATACTTTGAAAACACATCACCTTTTTATATCAAAAAGCGGAATAGCGGGAAATAGCGGAAAAAAGGTGAAAAAGCGGAAGAGGTGGTATCCCTGGTTGTACACCAAATACAACGTACGAAGAATCAATTACAAGAATGTTTAATTAATTTACAACAAAATTCTCCTTAATGGCAACCAACCATCGATCTCGTTCTCTTATCACAGATAGTAACTGAATGTGTAACGAAAGCTCAACAACGTTTAAGAAAAGAATTTCAATATAGAATCGATATAACACAACTTGATTTGAATGATCGTCGTTCAATGAAAGTATTTTATGATTTGCAACCCAATGAAATACAGGTTTGTCTTCATATTAACTAATATATTGTTTGCCTTTCTTATATGTCTGTGCTATTCAATGCTAGATCCGTTTGTCAAAACGATATTGGTAAGTCATAGCTAATGAACTAAGAACCAAAGAACAAATAGAAACACTTCGTCAACGAATCTTTTTAAAACGATTACCACGTCGTATTGATAAAATGATTGATCTTTCGTTGGATTATATTCAACCTATGCTATCAAGTTCAGTACTTGATAAAAATTGACGTGCTCGATTGACATCCAGTTATTCGAAAACAATTACACAATATAAATTTGATTTAATGTCTTTAAATTTGAATACAATGGAAAATATTAGACGTGGCCATGAAGAATTACTGATCGGTTTCAAAGAGAAAATTTCACAAACATGTAATGATTCATTGAAACAAGCCATTGAAAATCGTCAGCAAACAATGAATAAACGTCATGAAAAATTCTTAACACATAAATTGAATACTTTTTTTGACGAAGCTCCGACGACAACATCAAACGAATGAAGCAGTTTTCCTTTCCTTATTATCATTATCGTCATCATCATCGTCGTCGTCGGAGCAATATCTTTATTTATACAAAAATAACTGCTTCTTTACCATTTATTGAAATCGATTTAAATTTAACTCCTCAACAAATGTCCATGTTTATTAATGGTCTCAAATATATACGACCATGTCAAATTCAATACGCTCGTCGATCAATCGATGAAATTCTTACTGAACAATATCAAAATATATCTACCATTGTAAAACAATATCTAAATGATAATATAATGTCAAGAACAGATGAACGAGCAACAAAAGCATTTCTCGATTTAGAACGTATTCTACAAGAATTAAAATTAACAAAGTTTCAAAAAGATTACAAATTCGTGCTGAACTTGAACAAAGAATTGTACGAAGTATTCAAGACATACTACGTCAACGACCTTATGTTGTTATATGCCGAGCTGATAAAACAAAAGCAGTGTACTGTGGTGACACAACTGTTATGATAGCTAAAGCACTACAATATATGGCTAGAACGAAAGCTTACGAAGAAATGACTAATGGTTGTTGTTCTTTAGCAGATATCTTGCATGTTGTTAATACATTGCTGGATAGTATTGCACAACAGAAAGCTCTAACGCAAGGGCAAGTGATGAGATTACGTCCAAATCTAAAGAAATTAGAATTAGTTCGTTATCATGGTCTACCTAAAACACATAAGGTATAAAAGAGATTTCCTTTTCATCGAATCTATTTTATGTTTTTATGGTGCTTGTTTACAGGATGGAACACCATTACGACCAATCATTGTGCCTATTAATGCACCAACAACATTGATATCGAAATTCTTGAATAATCTTTTAGCACCTATCTATTTACAAGTAGCTCGTGATACGACCTTTATCAATGATATTGATGCCGTTCGAAAATTAGAAACCTATGTCTCAAATGGTTATTTGTCATCGGCAACAAAATTTATTACAGCTGATGTCAAAGATCTCTATGCAATGGTACCACGAGAAGGTGCCATTGAAGCATTAATACGATTTTTAGAAAAATATTCCTATCGTGGTAAGATTGGTACATTAAGTATCGATCATATTTTAAGAATGGCTCGATTAATATTGGATACGAATTATTTTGCTTATAATAGCGCATACTATCGACAAAAAGCGTGGTGGAGCAATGGGTTCAGCATTTACACAAGTCTTAGCTAATATTTATATGTTAGAATGGGAACAAGATTTAATTCAACATCAAACCATCCATCAAGAAATATACGGAAGGTTGCCAAAAATAGCGCTCAAACAAATTTTCTCTATTGATTTCTCTTTTTCTTTTATCTCTAGATATATTGATGATATATTTATGACTACCAATCAAACAGTCGATGAAATTACCAATGAACTTACAAAAGCAGCAAATCGCGATGTCAATATTAAAATTGAATATCGAATTCATACATCCATTGATTTTCTTGATGTGACGATCATGAATGAAAATGCACAATTAAGAACATCAATTTATCATAAACCAACAACTGAACCTTATATTTTACCATATACATCAGATCATCCACATCATGTTCAACGTAATATTCCATATGCAGCCTTATTACGCACTGCTCGTCTTTGTTCACATGTCGATGACTTTAACACGGAACGCATTTGTATTGATATGTCCTTATTATTAAATCATTATCCACCGAAATTCATCACGAAACATTTCCAACGATTTTTTCAATTAAATAATGCAATATCCGTCTTAGACAAATTAGATGAAAACAAGTATAGACAATTACATAAAAAGTTACTTCAACAACCTACACGTCGTGAAAAAATCTTGCAAACTCTGATGGAAGATCCAGTGAAAAATCCTGAAGTCTTACGAATTAAGATCTGGAATCGAACAGTCATGCATCTCCGTTATCTATTCGATAGCGCACTGACAATACATTTTCCCATAGAATTCTACCGATGGTGGAAAAATTATTATGTCTATCCTGGATCGAATATCAATAATGTTAAAATTAGATGAGTTCCAAAAACAAATCGTACACTCGAACATATCTTTATTCATAAGAAGCCACAACGGGAAATGCTAACCAGAATGGAACCATCCATTTCATAACTTTCAAAAAACCACACCATTTTCCTGTTTCTCTTTTTCCTTTTTGTTTTCAATGCGATTGAATTTCAACTTCATTTTATCCTATCTAATCGAATATTTCTCCATATTGATGTCATCTTACTCATTCTCTTCGTTTGCTCATTTATTTTTGGATAAATTATATCAAGTTACGATGCATCCAAGCAACACTGATATAATCTTCTAACCAACAACAATATAGCGTCACATACACATACACTGAATGCATTCAAATCATTGCTATACCTTTTCGATTAATCCAAAATTCCATGTCAAATGCCTCATACACAATAAAATCCAAACATGTCGCAACACTCCTCCCAAACAATTATTCACATCCATATACATACCCTCCACATGTGCATAAAAACATCATATTCACAAAAAACCTTATATGATTATTTAATATCAATCACATTAAACAGTTTTCCAACTATAAATTAGTATCTATGTTTATGTTGGATAAATCTCTTTTTGATTTTTCCATAGTATTCATGACTAATTTCAATGTAGTTAAAATGTTTCTAAACATATCTGAAGAGTATCATCTTGGAATGATCGAAACATGTCGTATGACTTCCTTGGAACATTTTACATCGGTATAAACACCCACTCCTTCTTATGGTGTACTCTTTAGAAATGATGATCGATGCAATTCGTTCAATAACATAGAACTTCTTTTTGTTGCTGAATACGGTTTATCATATTCTTCACGTTCTTTGTTCATTTTCTTTTGCCTTCTATTATTACTCTTCTTCTTAGAGTAGATTATCTACAGAATATCTATGAATACGGGTAGTGGCGTAACTAGACCAGTGGCGACTCGCTGGCGGTGCCCTGGCAGTAGAAGGTGGCGCCACTCTTTTTTTGCTTCTAACTTTTTAACTATATCTGATGAGGGCTTGGAACTATCACCAGATATGCTACCCCTTAATGCTAGATTTATGATAAAAAGCTCAGACCTTCATGACATTTAGTTAAAAAGTTAGAAGCAAAAAAAGAGTGGCGCCACCTTCTACTNAAGTGTTGATAACCGCGTTTTATATTTTGAATGGTGTCAAGATTTAAAGCCATTAAATCAAATTTATATTGTGTTATTATCTTTGAATAATTTGAAACTAAACTAGCACGTCGATCTTTATCAAGAACTTGGTTTGTGAGCATAGGCTCGATAAAATCCATGGGTTGATTAATAATTTTCTCATATGCACTTGGTAATCGTCGTAAGAAAATTCGTTTACAGAGAACATCTTCTTGTGCTGTTGCTTTCAACATATTCCCTGTCGTTTGCCATACTTGTATGGCTAGTTGCACCTAAATTCAAGAAAAACAAAAATCTGCAATTGAAAATCGACGACAAGCAATGGAAAAACGTCACGAATTATATGTTAAACATAAATTGAATACTTTTTTCGACGAAGCTCCGGCGACAATCAACGAATGAAGCAGTTTCGTGGCCGTCGGAGCAATATGCCCATTTATACTAGTATTACTGCTTTCTTACCCTTTGTTGAAGTCGATTTAAATTTAACTCCACAACAAATGTTTATGTTTATTAATGGTTATAAATATATTATACCATGTCAAACTCGTTTATCTTCTAAAACCGTGGAACAACATGTTAGTGAACAGTATCAAAGTATATCAACTACAATTAAAAACTGTTTAAGAGATCATCGAATACCAACCTCAGATCAACGAGCAAAAGAAGCATTCCATTCATTACAACATATTTTACTTGAATTACAATCAAAAATGTTTTCAAGAACATTAGAGAGACGTGCCAAACACGAAAATAAAATCATGCAAAGTATTTAATGTCTTTTCCGTAATCGACCAGATATTGTTGTACGGCGCACAGATAAAAGCAAGGTGTTTTATATTCGTAAAGCAACTGATTTAGCACGAAAAGCTAAAGAATATATGTTAAAAACCATTACTTATCAAGAAATTACAAATGGTCGCTGTCCTCTATCAGATATGTTATATGCTGTACAAAAATTACTCTCAAGTCTTGTAACACAAAAAGCTATAACCATTCAACAATTTAAGAAAATATCTCCTAAAACAATGAAATTAGAACTTGGCCATTACCATGGACTACCAAAACCACATAAGGTAAATATAGTTTAGCTAATATATATCATTCATATTGTTTTTCTTGCTATATAGCCTGGTACACCATTGCGTCCTATAGTTGCTTCAATTCATGCGCCAACAACATTGTTATCGAAATTTTTGAATCATTTATTAGCACCTATATATTTGAAAGTTGCACATGAAATCACATTTATAATAGCATTGATGTAGTTAGAAAATTAGAACAAATCGTTTTGGATGGCCACTTTCAAGTTACAACAAAATTTATCGGAATTGATGTGACTGATCTCTACACGATGATACCTCGTGAAGGTGCATTACATGCATTGATCCGATTTTTGGAAAACAATCCACATCGTGGTAAAATAGGTACATTATCGATTGATGCTATTATGAGAATGGCTCGATTAATATTGGACACGAATTATTTTGCTTATGACCATAAATATTATAGACAAATTCGCACGGTAAAAAAAAAGGTACTTTCTAGAACCTCAAAAAAAAGTTCGGTAGATGACAAAAAGTTTGCAAATATGTTGAAAGTTTAAAAAAACGAATAAAAAAAACCCGGAACCTTTAAAGGATCTTACCGTGTACCCCAGTGAAGATCCTTTTTGCTTCGCGACCTTTTTTTATTCCGTACTTCACAAAGAAGGTTTTGTAGGAAAGTACGAACCATTAGGGTTTCGTATTGAACCTCGAGGTTTCGTACTGGGTTTCCTATAAAACTATCATACTAGATGCGAAACTTTAAAGGTTTCGTACTTTCCTACAAAACCTTTTTTTTGGTGTACGGAACTTAAAAAGGTTTCGAAGAAAAAGGGATCTTCGCTTGGGTACAGGGTAAGATCCTTTAAAAGTTCCGGGTTTTTTTTATTCGTTTTTTGAAACTTTCAACACATTTGCAAACTTTTTGTCATCTACCGAACCTTTTTTTGAGGTTCNGGGGTGGGGGGGTGGGTGTGGGTGGGGGGGGGGGTGGGGGGGGGGGGGGGGGTGTGGGGGGGGGTGTGGGGGGGTGTGGGTGTGGGGTGTGGGTGTGAGTGTGGATGGGTGTGCGAGTGTGGGTATGGGTGTGGGTGTGGGTGAGGTAGATGTGGGTGGGGTGTGGATGTGGGTATGGGTGAGGTGTGGGTGGGTGTGGGTCTGGGGTATGGGTGTTGTCTTTCTAATTACTCTCACCCACACCCCACCCAATCCCACACAGACCCTGATTTCAATGAATACGTAATTGTGTCGATAATCGGATAACCGATGAGAAAAATAATAGATATTGTTCGCAATAAAATAAGATCTCGACCGATTAGACCTCGATTTTTAAAATGAAAGTCGATAGATCATCGACGAAAACGATGTGACAATGTGATCAAACGTTCAATCTTGGCTCTGAGCAACATTAGTTAGGAACTCTTTCAATGGAGGAGAGTGTGGGTATGGGGTGTAGTTGGGTGCAGGTGTGGGTTTCAGCGAGTACTAGGATAAGAACGACCCACACCCACGCCCACACCCGCCCCCACACTCCACACCCACAGCCACAACCACATCCATCCACACCCGCACTCACACCCAATAAGAACTATAGTATCACTGCTTCCTTACCCTTTATTGAAGTTGATTTAAATTTAACTCCACAACGAATGTCTATGTTTATTAATGGTTACAAGTATGTTATACTATGTCAAAATCGTTTATCTTCTAAAACTGTGGAACAACATGTTAGTGAACAGTATCAAAGTATATCAACTACAATTAACTATCTAAGAGATCATAGAATACCAACTTCAGATCAACGAGCAAAAGAAGCATTACATGCATTATAACATATTTTACTTGAATTACAATAAAAAAAGGTTCCAAGAACACTAGAAAGACGTGCTAAGCGCGAAAATAAAATCGTGCAAAGTATTCGATGTCTTTTACGTAACCGATCAGATATTGTTATACGCGCACAGATAAAAGCAAGGTATTTTATATTGGTAAAGCAACTGATTTAGCACGAAAAGCTGAAGAATATATGTTAAAAACAAATGCTTATCAAGAAATTACAAATGGCCGCTGCCCTCTATCAGATATGTTATATGCTGTACGAAAATGACTATCAAGTCTTGCTGCACAGAAAGCTATTACTATTCAACAATTTAAGAAAATATCTCCACAAAAACAATCAGCTTAGAACTTGGTCATTACCATGGTCTTCCGAAACCACATAAGGTAAATATAAATTTAGATGAAATATATATAATTCATATTGCTTTTCTCGCTGCTTAGCCTGGTACACCATTGGGTTCTATTATTGCATCGATTCATGCACCAGCGACAATAATATCGAAATTCCTTAATGATTTATTAGCACCTATATATTTGAAAGTTGCACATGAAATGACATTTATTAATGCCATTGATGTAATTCAAAAATTAGAAAAGTACGTTTTGGATGACCACTTTCAAGCTACAACAAAATTTATCGTGATTGATGTGACTGATCTCTATACGATGATACCTTGTGAAGGTGCATTACATGCATTGATGCGATTTTTGGAAAACAATTCACATCATGGAAAAATAGGTAAATTATCTATTGATGCTATTATGAGAATGGCTCGATTAATATTGGATACGAATTATTTTGCTTATGACAATAAATATTATAGACAATTTCGTGGCGGTGCTATGGGTTCAGCATTTACACAAGTAGTTGCGAATATCTATATGCATGAATGGGAGCAAGATTTGATCCAATATCAGGCAGCAGACAATGGAATATATGGAAGGTTAGTGAAACGTGTGCTAAATAAGAGAAGTTACCTTAAATTGCAAATATATTTTTCACAGGTACATCGATGATATATTCATGGCAACTACCAGAACATGGTTGCAATTAAAATAGAACTCGGAAGAGCTGCCGAAAAAGATATCAATATTAAAATTAACTATCAGATTGATACATGTGTTAACTTTTTGGATGTTACTTTACTAAATATAAATGGCTACTTAAAAACAACTCTCTATCACAAAACTACAGCGGAACCATATATATTGCCATACACATCCGATCATCCACGACATGCTCACCGTAATATACCATTTGCTGCTTTATTACGTGCTGCTCGACTTTGTTCAGATGTATAAGATTTCAACATAGAACTAATTTGTATTGATATGTCATTGTTATTAAGTAATTATCCACCAAATTTGATTAAAAAACAATTCAATCGATTCTTCCACATTTATAATGCAATGCCTGTTCTCACAGAATTAAATAGCGATATGTATGCTAGACTACACGAACAAGTATTGTATCAACCTACACGACGCGAAAAGCAACTTCAAACAATAACACAAGAACTCACTCGGTCTCCAACTGCACTTCAAGACAAGATATGGGATTCAAACACAATGTACCGACGATATGAATATCACATTTCGACATTCCGCCAATTCCGACGAAAAGTTTTACAATGGTGGCGAACTTACTATGCAAATCATGAGCCGGTACTTGCAAATATCAAAGTTCGACCAGTTGCTGCCACCAATAGGACACTTGAAACATTTTTCATACACAAAAAGCCACCAAACCAAATCTTGACACGAATCGAAGAAACAAAAACCCAACGATAATTAAACAAAAGCCAATACTAGCCACAAAGAGACTACGGTGAACGATCAGTATTTTAACTCCAAAATTTACCCCCATTTTAATTATGTATCCCCCTTGTAAAATAAAATCAATTTCAATAAAAAAATAAACAGTTCACCATATACAAGAAAATAAAAGTTACAATCAGATGCTTACATTTCCTTGTTTTAGATCAATATTATTCGGCGAGCACACATGTACTAAACAAATCAAAAGTTAGCACTACCCAGCTCAAAAGCAGGAATTTCCAGAACAACACTTCCAAGAGCAAACACAAGATCAATAACGAAGTGCACTAGAAGAGAACCAAACACTCCTAACATATTAATAGGAAAAACAACGCCACGCATATGACTCAACATATCGAACAAATTGGAAAAAATTAAAAACAAATTCATTACAGCGTAAAAAATAACTATTTCACTAACCACCAACGACCCGGCTTTCGATATAAACTGAAAAGTACGAAAAGCAAAAATGTATATTCAGTAACACAAAACAAAATAAACCTTAAGCACATCTTAACACAGGTACAAAACTATCCTCTGATTCCTTTCAATTTAGATGACTACATATCTAGCACAACACCTAACGAACAGATTACCATTATTAATAAGCAACTGCGGCCATACAACACAAGTACTACCTTCAAGATCCATTCCATTTACCAACGCCCTCTCTTTCATGCTATAATAATGAAACCAAGTATGCAGAGTTATAACACACCATTTTACAAAAAATATTGCGAATTTCATTAAATTTAATCTCATGATTAGGATATTGTTGAGAGTCTCTACTTTGGCTCTTATAATTTCCTTTTGTTATGAGATTTGATTTAATCCGATGCAATCTACTTGAATTCCAAATTCGCCTGACGAGTCCCTTAAGCAAGGACGAAACCGGTAATGATAAGCTCGGAATTCTTCTAAGTAACACATCCACATCCACATCCACATCCACATCCACATCCACATCCACATCCACATCCACATCCACATCCACACCCACACCCACACCCACACCCACACCCACACCCACACCCACACCCACACCCTCTACCGCCAACAACGATAATCTGATAACAGTCCCAGGACTATCGGTATCACGAGCATCTTAGAAACTGCGTAGACCGAAACGGAAGATTTCTCACAAACTGCATCATGAATCTTTCATGATTATGTTTCATTCTTTTTATTGAAACCAATTCAGTCTTTGACTAAATACTGAGATAATATCATATTCTAGGTCATAGATTGAATATGTGACAACTTATAAATTTTTCAAGTCATGTTCAAATCAAATATAAATGAGTGCAGTCGATAATTGAGTGATTGTTGAATAAATCTAAGACAACTTTTTAACGTTTGAACTTTTGATCAATTTTTGTCTACCGTTATCTAATATATTGACACATAAACATGAACCATCTTTTGTACATTTAGGCATGAAATATTCGGGTCGTTGGCATACTGAAGGACATTCTGAAAATATCCTTGGTGTAGGAGTCTATTATATGGACGTCGATAAACAGTTGCAAGGTGGTGTATTTAAAGTTCATTCAAAACAAGCTACAGGATGGCCAGACGATGACCAAGAAATCAATGTACACACTGGTGCTGCCATTGTCTTCGAGAATTCTATTCCACATCATTTTCGTCAAATACAAAATTTAACAAAAGTAAATCGTCGCCGTACATTCATGATTTTGTTCGTTGTTGATCCACGACATGGAATTGACTCAGACAGTTCACAAATATGTGTTTGCTATTACAATCAAGCATGGAATTTATTGAATGAATTTAGTCTTACATTGTTTAACGTACATAATGCACAGAACCAACGACAATTACCTGACCTTCTTATAGAGAAAATTCTATTTCTTGCCAAATCTTTGGCTAAATATTGATGAAGCAAAACAATTTCGACAATGTACTCGCCAGCAAATGTTAGAACAGAAATCCGGTTGGGGATGGATACAGTTTGGCAATTCTGGCATTGTAGAATTTGTTAAGCAAGCAGACCATGATGGAGAAGAATTAATACATACAGAATCAGACTGAAACCGGATAATTCCGCCAGCTTCCTCCGATAATTTACAAAAGTATTTTTGAATCTTTGGCAAATATATTCATTTTGTGTAGTTTTCTGCGCTGATCATTTTGGATATAAAAACGTCTAGCATTCTATACTAAATAAGAGGGTGCGGAGTGTGGGTGTGACGTGGGTCTGTGTCTGGCGGGGTGTGAATCATCTGTTCCCCCGCACCCACACCCACCCACAGCCTACGGTGCTGATAAAGAAAAGACTGACACCCATAACTTCGTCTATACCCATACCAATACACCCACACCGAAATCATCCGATGTGTATGAAATTTTAGAGGAAATGTTGAAAAAAACCTAAACTATCTCTTTCAGAACCATCCAGTTATACTGAGGATTACAAAACATATTGCTATCGATTTTGACAAAGGATATGAAATCAAAACAACGAAGCAAATACACGTTTGTCCGAATTCTTTATCTTGCAATACTTTTGCTATTATTCAACATACAATTTTGTTTTATTTCAATGAATAAATATCATAATAATTGTAAGTGAATATCTATAGATATATGATGATACAATATTGATTAACCAATCAATAAGAATGTATATAAAATATTCATTTTATTTCAACTTTTATCATCCTGTTTTTTATGTAAGCATGGAAAAAAATTCAAATGAACATCTGTTGGTTTGATCCATGGTTCAACAAAATCAAGTTCTTCAACTTTTGAACAATTAATTTTAGTTTGTTGTTGATTTTGATCAATTATTGTTGATAATGCATTAATAGGAATGACAAGTTTGAGTAGACATGAAAGATGACTTCGACATAGAAGTTGTTCAGCATAATTCACATGTATATCATGTAAAATAAGTGCAAGCAAATGACGAAATTCAATAGTATTGATTTTCTCTTCTTGTCAAGTTGATTAAATACTTCGAGTGTCCGCAGACGAGGTAAAGCTCGAGAAACATGCTCAAAGAAAATATTTTCGAAAGATTTAACATCATCGAAAAGTGACAACGTAGTAACGTTTGAAAAACTGTTTTTATCATCAAAAAGTGGAAATCGATTCGAAATAAGATCAAGACGAGTACCAATAAATGGAAGTGAGTATATCTGACATTGACCATATTCATTATTGAAATATTCAAGTGCCCACTCAACAGATTGTTGCTGTTTGACGAATCGTATCTAGTTCTAAATAAGGAGCATGTGGACGTACTGAACGAATATGAAAATTGAATTGACATAAGTGAGGCATATAGGAAATAATATCTCTTTCTAAATCAAGTCCATCAATAAAATGATCTAGTCCAATGTCTTTGACATCAATGGCTAATAATAACTTTAAATGTTCAACATTTGATAAGTGCTGAAAAAGAGGAACAATATGTTGTTCATAATTAATAATATTACGATAGATTGTCATTGTCAAATATTTCAAATTGTAACAGGATATCTATAAGAAAATAGATCGTTTCAAATATTGAGTCGAAAAGAAATATTTACTGATTCTAGTTGAGATAAGATATTATCTTCATATACACGACCGTATATAACAGTCACAGAGAATGAACATAGTTGTAAACCTAATTGTTTGAGCAAATGAAGACAATCATCAAGTGCTCGTAATGTTACTTGCACATGGGTCAAATGAGGCAATTGAGAAAAGAGTAAATCTTCATCAATAGATGGTATTGATAAGCCATAATCATTATCATACTCGAAAAAGACAACCGAATGTATAATTGATGAACAACAAATGAGTGATACACTCCCGGCAGGAATTTCATTACAAGGGTAAAGATATTGTGGAACAATCAAGTATAAAGACGAATAATTTCGTAAAGGATTATCATGATAATACTCCAAAAATATATAAATATCAATAGATAAAACTTGTCTCAAATTAGAAAAAATGTCGATTAGATGAAAGCAAAATATTCATCAGATAATTGATTATCTATTCGTAGTCTAATGGATCCGATATATATTATTGCCAAAGTGTATCATAGAAAATATGTTTCTATCGACGGAGGATATCAAAATTGTCAAATCATAATTGAATTCTATTATCTAATTAATAAATGAACCATATCCAATCGTAAATTTAACTTTAAAATTACAGTTAGGTATAGCTTACCGTTTATATAACGTGTTGTTGTATTATTATAATGATGATCTGTCATTATTTTAAAATGTGTTAATTTTAAAAGATTTTCATGATCATTTTTTCTACTGATAAGATCAAGGTATGGCAAATGTCGAAGATTAATTGTCATTGATTGAATATTATTCCTAATTCGAGACATAACATCTGGCAAGAAACGCACTATAAGTTCTTGCGATGACGAATCAAAACAATCGAAGGTTAAATCAATAGAATCACATTTATCAAACGCAAGTCTTTCCAAGCGATTATTTCCAATATCAATAATAGAAACAAGTAATAAAATTCGAGGTTTTATTTTATTCATAATAGCTAAGATCAATTCATCAGGTAAGTCAAGCAATTGGACAGAATTTTCTATGCACTAGAACAAATGAAACATGATCTTATGAAATAGCTACATACTTGTATTTGACAGCCAGTTCATTCTTTGTATGGCACGTTCGTCTAAATGACGGATGAATATGTACTAATATATTCGAACATCTTTGCTTGACGAACATTGTCTCAAATGGAACCAATCATTAGTGGATACGAAAATAATGAATAACTCGTTTTAAAAAGTCTATCTATTTATATAAATTATCAAATACAGTTAAATACTATAGAAATCTCTTTTATAGCAACCAAAAAAAAAAGAGATATTGAAAAATCGAAAGTTTGGTGGCCTGAATGAATGACTTTCTTCATTTTTTTCGTGTACTAATAATATCTTTAGAGCCATAGCTATTAAATGAGCACCTTCTTTTGCTGTTTTACTGATGCTCGTGAAATTTCTGAAAGTCTTCATGGTAGTAAAAACATAGTTCATATTGATAAAGATGTAGTCTATATTTAATTGTAATCTAATTCCTTTTTAACTTCTCTTCTGAATGACATGGGAAATCATTTTTGGCAAAACCAGTCAGCGTTTGATTCATAATTTTCTAATTCTTAAAATACGAAGAACGTATAGACGTGAAAGAAATTAATTAAACAAAATATGAGTAACAACAAAAGAATATATATATATGCATGCTGTTTATATATTTTGTCAAATATCTAGTTAACGAATCATATTCTTAGATATGCTTCTTGTTATCTTTTTTCTCTTGTTGCTCTTATTTCAAATAAAAGTATACTTGTCTCTTTCTCTTCGTCTCTCATTTGAAAAAAGCGTTTTGGAAAATGTGCATACAACAAGATCAATTGTTTGAATTGATATCCAAAGATATAAATGAAGGCATGATACTAATTACAACCTTAGTCAAGAATATTATCGTTTTTTAGCATTCTTTCTTTTCTATCGAATTTACATATAACAATACCTCATTTTCTCTTTCTCGATACTTTTATCGGTTGAGATCGAATTTTATTTAAACCAAAATGAGTACACCTAGAGTTTTTAGTTTTATACTGTATTGTCTCAAATATTGTATTCGTTCCTATAATATTACAATGACTAGGATCTGAAGTGTGATTGTAGATGTTGACTAGAAGAGGACTCACACCCATGCCCCCATCCTCATATTAAAGCTAATACACCCAACACATATCGATACTCTTCAGAAAAATTTTCTGTTCAACAATGATTTCGTAGTGAAGATTTAACACTTGCATAGTCCAGAGTAGAGTATATTGGGATGTGGATGTAGCTGCGGTTGTGAGTTCTCTCTCATCCTCCGCTCAAATAGTCACACACCCCTATACGCATATGTAAACCCACAGCGACATTCACATTCTTGAAATAAGAACTAGCTCATTAAACAGCATTGCCGCAAGTGACGATAAATCTACCTCTTTAGTTTATGGTTACAACCATCAATTTGATTTTCATATTTATAGTTAGGTAATATGATTAGAAAAGAGAAGCAGTAAGATTGTCACATCACTTTGTTATATAATTGGCAAAAGAATATTAGTGCTTTGTAAGGAATCTATGAAAGATGGTTGGTAGTGGAAGCAAACGTTCTTGAACTTAGGGTCAAGTTTGGTAACATTGCTTTCCAATAAGATACTAAACGTTCACTTGAATAGTATGTGTTTATATCCTGTAAAAATCATTTTACTAGTTTAGTTGAAGTGAAGTAGTGAAGATAGTTTATCGCAAATCAAATACGAAGTATTAAAATAAATCAATAAACCACTTGATAATAATGAAAAAAGGGAAGTAAAATAAAAAACAATTCGAAGGCTTAATCCTTTAAGCTTAGATTATTATTAAGAAAAAATATATACGTATTGCTGTGGCTGAGATGTGGAAGGGTCTCAGTGCTACAAAAAGAAAACACGCCTACACTCACAGCGTATATTTCCTGCCCTTTGATGAGATAATATATTGAGCTAATATTCATCGATGTTTTTGTCTCTATTTATTCGATTCTTTCAACACATACTAACCTCTACACTTCAATTTGAAATCACAAAAGAATATGGTATTATGAGATTGAAGATATTTATCTCGAATCAATATTATATTTATGAAAGGATATAAAAAGCATGCAAATACGATCAAACCAAGATAAAACGTACTTTCAAGTCTGTCCGGTCTGAAACACTTAATCAAATCAAAGAAGAAGTGAAGTTCGATTCCCGACAACAGGTGATCATTTTCTTCGTTTTATTGTTGCTCCAGCTCACTGCATATTTTTGAAGAGTCAAAACATCGAAGTCGAATGTCATAACTTGAACGAAGTCACTTACAAGCAACGAAAATATCCGCGTTTAGCCAAAATTTTTCTCAGCTTAGTTTGTCTGCCTTACATCTGCAGTCATTAGCGGCGTAATGGTATCGTGTATTCTATAGAAGTTCATTTTATGTCACATCGGATGATTTTCCATAAAGAAAGTTTTCATCAATTAGGTGATCTCATCGATTTTTTTGGTGATATTCTGCAAGGATCGAGTCAAACTGAGAAAAATAAACAAAACTACAACCGAATTCTCGTCTAAATAGGTTTCCCGAAAATACATTGAACCCGCTAGAAACAAAAATCAATTTTAGAAGCATTTTCCCGCCAGATATAATTTATTCACAATCTAGAAAATTGTTTAACTGACTACGATCTCAGAAAACGAGATGTTTAAGGGCACGGAATACGTCGTGCGTGGTATCTGATTTCTTAGAATTTTGATAAAATATTATGAAAATTGATTATATTGTCACATGCGCTAGAACAGAATTACATGAATTTTAGCTCATGTGACATTCCTCTCATTAGCTTTCTTAAAATGCCCAAATCCTATACAAAGTTGATATCGTCGACAATAATTGGCAACATGCATTTTCAATCAAAAGTAGTAGTATTCATACTTGCTTAACCTTGATATTATGGGTTTTGTAAGTAGTTTGTTCAGTAATATGATCATTAATCGAACAAAAGATGGTTACAATTGAAGCATATCAATTACGAAAATTATCTAGTACTTTTCTTCCATTGATACACAATGACATCTCTCGATATCTAATTTACTGATCAAAACACGACAACTGTAGTGTACACTAAATTCATGCATCTTATTACTTTGTCATCCTGCTGGACGGAACCTTAGCATTGCAGTTTGAACTCTTTACGTATGGCTGCTGAGCATTTTCTAATGAATATGAATGCTGTTGAGTGCTATGGATTGTACCAAATGTTCATAGAAATAAGGCTTTTTATCAGGACTAAAACTAGAGAAATTTCAAACCAGGACGAAATTTTGACTATCGCTAAAAGCAACGAACACAGAGATGTCCATATGTGATTAAAATGTGAACCATGATAGATCAACTCTAGTGATACAAGAGAGCGTTCATATCAGAATGTCTGATGTCAATCTGCGGAAATAGTAAAGAGATTAGAAAAGAGACTTAGTAACATAAGTGATTAGTATAAAATAATTGTATTTTTCTTCAACAAATACATCGTTACTAAATCCGATATTGCTTTGTCCATTTACATATAGATGTAAGCACATCATCATGTTAGCAGTTCGAATTGAATTTAAAAATAGTGAAGTGAACGATTCGAAAAGCGATTTTCTTTTGGTTTTAGATATTCAATTAACGATGTTTAAATCAATGCATATTATGTTACTGATCTTAGCAACAACCATAATATTAGTAACAGGAGTATCTATTGGATCCTCAGCTTCAAATCCCCGATCGGTTATTGGTTTTGGTCGATTTATTTATCATTATACTAAAAGAAACCCGTTGCACTACTATGGTTATGGATGTTGGTAAGAGAAACCGATTTCTACTCTTCGTATGTTTTGCCAGCTCTCAATTTTAGGTGTGGATTAGGTCACAGAGGAAGTACTGTCATGGATAATATAGATGAATGTTGTAAAACTCATGATGGATGCTATAAAGGTTTATTTTCCTTGTTATCCTATTACAAGATCGATTCAGATTGGAAATGTGCAGACAAGCCATCATCTGACAAATACAAAGCTTGTATGTGCGACAAAGAAGCAGCTCAATGTTTTGCTCGACATATATATGATGTAAACATGATAGGAAAGTGCGATTAAACGGCTATTTATCGAAGAAAATAAAACTTTTCTGTGTCTTTATTTACTGTGTTTCATGTTTTAATTATAGCTCCAAAATCTAATATATTGTCTGCAAAACTTTAAAGTTTGAACGTATGAATTGTATAATAAAATCGGTTTCCAAACTGGCTAAGTTTATCCAGGAAAATAGTGTCGGCTATTCATGTCCTAATTGAGAATGTTAGTCTGAGTGAAGAAAATATCCGTGTCCACACTAACGCCTACCCTTCTGCTGCTGCTCTGTACAATTTAAGAGATTAATTTGTCTTTTCGAATTATAGACAGAGGCGATACGATATTCTCTATGCAATGTTAGTTAATTTTATTGTTTAAAAGAATGGTATTGACTAATAATATAGAGAAAATGCCCAAACAAAAAATATTGATAACAAAAATTTTGACTTCTGTCAATATTTGATGAAGTATTGAATTAATAATTGATGATTGTGTTGTAGATGTTGGCGATGGTCTTTTCTTTACCTACGACCAATCACTAAGTTCAGTTTGTTTATTTAAAAATTTTCCTAACACATTCAGGAAAACTTGTTTGTTTCTTATCAAATTTATATTTACTATTACTTCTTAGACAATAAAAAATATTTTCGTACTGTTATTTTGTTGATAAACAGCTATTAGTCATTCTATTCATTCTTTTCTTGTAAAAGTAAATCTTACTCGTCATTTTCCTTGTAATGAAGTTTCTATATCGATGCTCGGGACATGGGGACATTGAATCATTGGTTGAAACGAAATAGAGAGTATTTGAGTTATTTGTTTTTATAAAATAGTTCTTTTTTCGATGCTCATGATACAGTGGATCGAATGATTGATTAAATGTTTAGTGTTGGCAAATTGGTTGTTAAAAACTTGAAATTGAATGATATATGCTATTTAGAATAGCAGCCGACCTATTTTTCGATTGATTAAGTAATAATTGAACTATAAATGGATTGTTGATTATCTATTCGATCGACTTGTTGTGAGAAAGTTTATCAACGTAAGTTTGTAGTTTAGAATTGGGCATGGTCATTTTTTTGTAAGAGATTCACATGAAAAGAAGATATAATTTATGTAAGGCCTTGTCTCCACTAGAAAAATAATACGGTATTAACTTTGTATTAAAATCATGCGTGTCTACACTTGGAAAGTTAATGCATCAATCAGAATCTAGAAAAAAATGTCGCTTTCATTAATTCAATTGGAACACATGAACCTAATGAGACTTTGATTGGTGCATTAACTTTAATTCGCTTTTGAAAGTGCATTAAATGCGAATTAAATTTTCCACGAATCAAGTTTCTTAATTCGGTATTAAATTTTCTGGTGGAGACAAGGCCTTAAGTAAAAACAAGCAGACATAGAAAGTGTTTCTTGATTGGATGTTCCATAGCAACGAACATCAATCGATTAATTATAAGAAGATGAATAAAATTCATAAAATTATAATGGTCACGAAATAAAAATGGTTAAAAATGAAAATTTTCTGTATGTAAATATTTTAAAATAATTCAAAATAAATCATAGAAGCTCGACCAATCATTTAGAATCGCTAAAATTACAGAAGTTGAATACAATGGTAAACCAACATTAACCCCTTGGATACTGCTGTCTTCAGGCTGAAGACAAACAGAACGCAAGAAATTGTTTTTCGTTCTGTCGTATCGATAAACAACTGTGAAACAAAATGTTTATCCATGCACCCGTAGCAGTGAACATTTAATATACGATAAAATATACATATATACAGCTGATTGAAGACGACAGAACGCAAGAGATAGTGATTTTTCGATTTTTCTATAAACTCGTTAAGAGCACAAGAATTGTCGGCATTCAGGAGGTTAATTATCGTGTGACTCATGCTTTTAGCATGCATTCCAAACTCAACTAAATTCACATGTCAATTGTGACATATATGATTATGAAAGTATATGCTTTAGAGTATATCAGAGCGTAGCTTCTTAAAAGAGATATTTTTTAATTAAACATATGGCTATTTAAAACTGTCTATAGCTATTTAAAATGCCATAGCTATCTAAGCTTGCACTCAGCTATTTAACCTCCAAGATCCCGACAACTCTTGCATTCTTTACGATCTTGTAGAAAAATTGAAAAATCACTCTCTCTTGCATTCTATTATCGTGAATAAGCTGTATACATGTATATTTTATCGTATATCAAACGTGGATTGATACAGCCGTATTATGAACATTTCGTTTCACATCTGTATATCGATAAGACAGAACGAGAAAAAAATTCTTGCGTTCTGCTTGTCTTCAGCCTGAAGATAGCGGGATCCAAGAGGTTAAAACTTCCCATAGCTATTGAATTCGAATCACTGTACAATTTAGCCCACAATTCGAAATCAAGTAAATTCAAGGTAGATCGAAATTTTAGTTCATGAAATGCTCGACACTATCCAAAATCTTTTGAGTATTGTCGGCTCATGATAAAGTTGCTTTCAGTGGTGTTGCCGTTCCTTTTTTCAAAAGCTAATTTATTTGAATAGTTCCATATCCTAATGCTATGCAGTACAGTATTGTCAGAGAAAAGTCAAAAAGAATTAAAAATAAATCGAGGCTGGTAAAGAAGCATCGATAAATAAATAGAAGATCAGAGGAGGAGCATCCCTTGATAACCATGTTAAGAATGCAGTTTTTCAAGTCGAAAATTATTGACGAGAAATGGTAAACGTTTCAAAATGCTATGTCACTTACAATATCAATTACTTAGGGGTATCCAAAAGTAGTGGCAACGACATTTTAGTACCACTTAGTAAGCTTGATAAAAGTTTCTTTTTACACAGGATGATAGAGAAGAAAATGCTCTTTCTTTCTATGCTATTTGATCATACTTCACATAATATAATGGTAATAAATTTCCAGTAAGATTCGTTTCGTTATCATTCGTGATCGTTATAAGTTTGCATTGCAGTTTTCAATTTTTTTATGTGTGCTATTAAGAAGCAGAATATACTAAAAGATGCAGCGTGAAAAGCTCTACAATNTGTTAATCATTTTTCTGAATTTGTTCTTAAGATCAGTTGACCACCGCATTGACATGATTTTTCTCTATGACAACTTATACATGGAGATGACTAAGAACACAGAGGGAGGGGTGGAGTAGAGACATATAGTATCCTGGAAACTATATCATCATACTTGATTGTACCTTTTTTTTATTTTGTCGTGTGGTTGAAATCGGCGGAAAACCGGTGACATATCGATTGGTATAATGTACGCTGTACTGGCGTTTTTAAAAGTATTGTACCATGGTGTATTGTATCGAAATATGTGAACATAGCTGATAGACTTCCGTTTGTACATCCATATAGTCAAAATCAGTCTCGGCGGTGAAAAACATTTTTATTACAGATGGTGCTGAAAAAAATCTTTAGTAGCAAATTATATTCTCAAACTGTTGTCTTTAAATTCTTTCTAATAAATAGCCCGTATTAGGAGAGAAAGCAATCTCTCGATATCGTAAGTCGTAATCGCTACCGATAGTTGTGCAAATAAACTTGCGATAGATATAATTTTACTATGTTATTTCTGTTTCAGGCCCAACCAAAAACTCTTCTCATCTCAGAAATTGAATCAGGACACCGATATGAATTAGTTTGTACAACCGATGCCGGATTGGTTCGATACAGAATGGGAGATGTGATCAAGTGCACAAGATTTCTTTGCCGAGCTGATGATTTAGTTTCATTACCTGACGAGCCAGTAGAGATCCCACAAATTCCTCTTGTTTCACTTGTATATCGTAGTGGTGCTCTTTTGGATGTATTTGGAGAGAAAACAAATGAACAACATATGGTAAATGCTCTTCAACAAACTATTCGTCAATGGAAAGATCAAGGAATACCAGTTGACTTTTGTGATTTCACAGCATATCCGAAGTTAGATGCATCCCCGACTAAATATATCGTCTTCTTGGAATTGTCTGAGGAAGACGAATGCAAAATTGGTGAAGAAAAAATTCAAATTCTCAAGAATAGCTCTAGTAAATTAGTCGAAGAACAACTTGTCATAGCGAACAATGTTTATGAAAAAGTTCGATATTTTGGAGTTCTTGGTCCACTTGATTGTATTCTTGTTCGAACTAGGACATTTTCGACATTTTTGCAGAAATTCTTGTGGAATGATCGTGTCAATCCTTTGCAAGTCAAACCTCATCGAATTTTGAAGAATGAAGATCATATTCAATTCTTTTTTGACCATCAAGTTGATATATCATTGTCCTAATGATAAGTTAGTTATTCATGCAATAATTATGATCACCTTAGTAGTTTTTATTTGATTTTTTAATGACTTTTTAAATATAAATGGTGATGTATTTCAATAAATAAACCTTTAGTTATATTCTTTGTAAAAATATTCTCTTGAAAAGATATATCCAAACGATCAATAAAGTATATTCAACATCTATAATTACCAGGATGGGCGTGGGGTGTGGGTGTGAGAGTGGGTGTAGGTGTGGGTAGTGTGGGTGTGGGCGTATGAAAAGAAAGATTCACACCCACACCCACACCACATCCATACCCATACCACACCCACACCCACACCCACCCTTTACCTTTCATTGAAGTGGATTTAAATTTAACTCCACAACACATGTCAATGTTTATTAATGGTCTCAAATATATTGTACCATGTCAAAGTCGGTTATCTTCTAAAACTGTAGAACAAAATGTTAGTGAACAGTATCAAAGTATATCAACAACAATTAAAAACTATCTAAGAGATCATCGAATATCAACTGCCGATCAACGAATAAAAGAAGCATTCCATGCATTACAACTTATTTTACTTGAATTACAATCAAAAAAAGTTCCAATAACACTAGAAAGAAGTGCAAAGCGCGAAAATAAAATCGTGCAAAGTATTCGAAGTCTTTTACGCAACCGATCAGATATTGTTGTACGTCGTACAGATAAAAGCAAGGTGTTCTATATTGGCAAAGCGACTGATTTAGCACGAAAAGCCGTAGAATATATGTTGAAAACAAATGCTTATCAAGAAATTACAAATGACCACTGTCCTCTATCAGACATGTTATATGCTGTGAAAAAATTACTCACAAGTCTTGTAGCACAAAAAGCTATTACCATCCAACAATTTAAGAAAATATCTCCAAAAACAATCAACTTAGAACTTGGTCATTATCATGGACTACCAAAACCACATAAGGTAAATATAGTTTACGTAATATATACATATATAATTCCTATTGTTTTCCTTTCTACTTAGCCTGGTACGCCATTGCGTCCTATTATTGCATCGATTCATGCACCAGCCACAATAATATCGAAATTTCTGAATGATTTATTAGCACCTATATATTTGCATATTGCTCGGGAAATGACATTTATTAATGGCATTGATGTAATTGGAAAATTAGAAAAGTACGTTTTGGGTGGTAACTTTCAAGCTACAACAAAATTTGTCGTAATTGATATGACTGATCTCTATACGATGATACCACGTGAAGGTGCACTACATGCATTGATACGATTTTTAGAAAACAATTCACACCATGGAAAAATGGGTACATTATCGATTGATGCCATTATGAGAATGGCTCGATTAATACTGGATACGAATTATTTTGCTTATGACAATAAATATTATAGGCAAACTCCTGGTGGTGCTATGGGTTCAGCATTTACACAAGTACTTGCGAATATCTATATGCATGAATGGGAGCAAGATTTGATCCAATATCAAGCAGCACACAATGGAATATATGGAAGGTTAGTGAAACGTATGCTAAACCAAAGAAGTTATATTAAATTGCATATATATCTTTCATAGGTACATCGATGATATATTCATGGCAACTAACCAGAAGATAGCTGCAATTAAAATAGAACTCGAAAGAGCTGCCCAAAAAGATATCAATATTAAAATTAACTATCAAATTGATACATGTGTTAACTTTTTGGATGTTACTCTACTAAATATAAATGGCTACTTAAAAACAACTCTCTATCACAAAACCACAGCGGAACCTTATATATTGCCATACACATCCGATCATCCACGACATGTTCACCGTAATATACCATTTTCTGCTTTATTACGTGCTGCTCGATTTTGTTCAGATGTACAAGATTTCAACAAAGAACTTATTCGTATTGATATGTCATTGTTATTAAGTAATTATCCACCAAAATTCATTAAAAAACAATTCAATCGATTCTGCCAGGTTTATAATGCAATGCCAGTTCTCACAGAACTAAAAAGTGATGTGTATACTAGACTAAACCAACAAGTATTGTATCAACCTACTCAACGCGAAAAGCAACTTCAAACAATAACACAAGATCTCATTCGGTCACCTACTGCACTTCAAGACAAGATATGGGATCTAAACATTATGTACCCATGATATGAATATCACAATTCGACGTTCCGCCAATTCCGACAAAATTGTTTACTATGGTGACGAGCTTACTATGCATATCATGAGCCCTTACTGGCAAACATCGAAGTTCGACCCGTTCCTGCTACGAATAGGACACTTGAAACATTTTTGATACACAAAAACCATAAAACAAAATCTTAACACGAATCGAAGAAAAATAAATCCAACGATAATTCAACCAAAACCATAACTACCCACAAAGACACAACGGTGACCGATCACTATTTCTACCCCAAAATTTACCCCCATTTGAATTATGTATCCCACTTGTAAAATAAAATGAACTTAATAAAAAAAAAAGAGTTCACCACATATAAGAAAAAAAATGCTACAATCAAATGCTTACATTTCCTTATTTTAGATCAATATTATTCGACGAACACGCATATACTGAACTAATCAAAAGGTACCACAACTAAGCTGAAAAGCACGAATTTGCCAGAACAACACTTTCAAGCGGTAGTACAAGATCAATAACCAAAGTGCACTTCATAAGGAGCAAACACTACTAACATATTATCGAAAAAATAACGTCACGCAGATAACTCAAGATATCGAACAAATCCGAAAACAAAAATTAAAAACTAATTCAATAGACCACAAAAATAGCTAATTTACTAACTCCTAACGACCCGACTGCGGAAATAAACTAAAAATTTCAAAAAGAAAAACCGTACACAAAGTCACAAAAACCACGAAAAAGCCAAACAACATCTGACCAGAGCCACAAAAGTATGCTCTCGTTGCTTTCAATTTACATGACTATATCTCTAACAAATCAACTAATGAACAGATTAACATTACAAAGAAATGATTGAGGCCAAACAAAATCTGTCTTCCGTTCAACGTTCATCGCAATTACAAGCGCCCAATATTTCATATAAACCTAATGGACGCCCGAATGCAACGTTGCTACATTTGCAAAAGTTCACAAAAATATTGCGATTTATACCAAATTTAATCTCAACATTTGAATATAATTAGTTGAGAGTCTAAGATTCCGAATCTTTGGCTCTTATAATTTCCTTTTGTCATGAGATTTCATTTAATCCGATGCAATATACTTGAATTCCAAATTTGCCTGATGAGTCCCTTAAACAAGGACGAAACCGGTCGTGATTAGCTTGGAATTCTTCTCAGAAACACACCCACATCCACACACTCGAGAAATCCTTGCCAGATCCGCAGTGTGAGTCCCTGAAAAGTTCCTCAAGAAATCCCTGTCGAGATTCTGCTGGAATTTTTCATAGGGCTCTGTGGAATTTCTTTTAGGGAAAGTTGACTACGATAATCAGTTCTAGACTAGCATCAATTGTTTTAATTATCGATCGAAGTTCTGTGTTGATATACATGCAACTGATAAAATCTCATGGTCAGTCACTACCAACTACAGCAGCAACTATTCATTAAAGAATGTCTTTATCAACAATTCATTTTCCTTTATTTATCATTCATTCACTCTTCATAGTTTCTCATTGAGCGATGAAATATAAGCAAAATCGATGAAACTGTCCTTCCAAAAGCATACCACCAATTTATTTCGCTAACATTGAGAAATAATAAGATGTTGATACATCAGCTTCAATCTCTTCTTTTGCTGACACCTTCACTTGTTTATCTCGATCTAAGAATTGATCGATAAGTCTCATTCAATATCCAACAGCACTTCTCTCGATGGAGATAAATTGTCTGTCATAAGTAGTCATCTGCAAAATGGTCACGGTCACGGTCACGCCGTGACCATGACCGATTTTGAAAAATTTCCGTGACCGTGACCGTGACCGATTTTGAAAAATTTCCGTGACCGTGACCGTGACCGATTTTGAAAAATTTCCGTGACCGTGACCGTGACTAAAAATCATGGTCACGCAGTTCTCTAGTCATAAGTTATTTCCACTCAAAAAATTCAAGTTTTTCATCTATATCTATGAGAATCACTATGAAGCTATCGTGCCGATTATCTTTTGCTTTTTGTACACCATTCTGGTTGTAACGTCTTCGTAGCATGCAGTGTATGCATGCTATTTTCCTCTTCTTACTATTTCTTCTCATCTGATACATTGTCCTTATATTTCTGTCCTTACTTAGTACATCGTATTGTACGTGGTCCCTATCATATGGTAATTATCTTCTGTGCTTGTGTTTGTATTCTTTCCTTCTCTTTTATGGACGAGTATATAAGCGTATGCTTTGTATGTAAACAATGCGATTCTTGAGAAGAAGAAATATAATAAAGCGTAATTCCACCAGCGCTAACACTTCTTCCAACAGAAATTGTCACACTGGTCAGAGTACAAACAACGATGGTTTGTCATGTATTAATTAATTACGAATGATAACTCAAATCTTGATATTATCCTCTCATTGTGCTGCTAGTTTTCGATATAAAAGGATGATACAAGAGCAGACGAATCACAACCAAATATATAAAGTAGCAGAATAAAGATTATGTCGAATGATACAGACACTTCTGTTCTTTTCAGTTTATCGTTACAGTGTTGATCTCGACAAACCAGCCATAGTATTGATTGAAATGTATAAAAGATAGCACATCTTTGTTGGATACATTTTATTAATATTGAATGAAAAAAATTTATAAATAAAAAAAAAACGAATAAAAAGTTGAGTAAAGAATTAATGTTATCGAACGTAAATGATATTTGATGATATTGTTCGATGTGTGTTGCGTTCTCTAAAAAGAAAAAAATATTGAATTAATTTAAATCCATTGATACTCGAAACGGCATAATATACGTCACTTATTGACTATTTTATTCAAATATTCTTCTTATTTAAAAGAAATAGTGAATGTTTTTTTTAAACGAATGAAGATCACAAGACAACTGAAGAGGTCATAACAATACTGATGGTGGTGGTGCTAACAGGAACACAAGTAAGGTTTTATTCAATTCTTTTTTGCACACTTCAAACTAATGATATGCAACTTGTAATATACTCAAAGACCGCATGGCAAATGAATGCTTCATAGCAAACTTCTATTCCCTTTCTTTGTTTACTTGGAACTAATGATTTAAAACTTGTAATACTCTAGCAGCATGAGCTAAAATGAATAATTCATACAGTTGTGAACAATCTCACATGTTGTACCTTGAATACATGCTATATTACGCTTTTATTGAAATATTTTGCCGACGTCACACCACATATTTAGAACTGATAATACATTCGAAGATCACTTGTGAAATGAATAATTTCTACAAATAGGAACCTACTATTATAATATTTAACTCAACACAGACCAATAATTTAAAATTGGTAATATATTCAAAGAACACATAAGACATGAATAGTACGCACTAGGCTTTTATTCACATATTTTGATCACTACTTCGTATTAATGAATTCGAATTAGTAATATATTCGACAGCCAAATGGCAAACGAATACAACATACAAGGGCGACGAACATGACGAGAAAGTTTCTATTGAAATATTTTGCTCACTTGAAACGAATATTATAGATTTGGTTATATGACCGAAGATCGCATGACAAATGAATGACATAAACCAGAATTCAATTCCAATATTTTACTCATCAACAAGTATTTGATTAGAACTCTGATGATAAATACAACGACGTTAAAAATAAACCAATTATACGTTCGCCAACAAGGAAATTGCGCATGTGGGCTGCTTCATATGGTGCTGCCCATATTCTAGTGTTTACGACCATTATGGCGACGATAAGCAAAATAGAAAATAATTTCATTGTATTTGTCATCTTCTGTTCGTGATACTCGACGTAGGCAATCAATTATTTGGTGAGTAGATGTATATATATGATTTTAATGCAATACTCCTTCGAATATAAACTTGTCGAATTATGAAAGAAAGAAAAATTGATGAAGAATANAGTACTTTTACGTTAGAAGAAATGGAAAAGATAATCGAATGGGTTGACCAACATCCGTATGCTGGATTCGCAACTATTTCCTGTCGATTCAGAAAAGTCAAATACATGCATTATATTCCAAGGTTCAGACAATATATCGAAAACAACGGCACGAGATTAGAAAAATTAAAGCAAATTAAAGAATATATGTTTAATGAATTTTATGTGAAAAGAACAATTGAAAAAGAAGCCGTTCATGATGCTGATCTAGAACTTTTTGCAATCCAAAAAGCAAGAGAATTAGATTGGGATAGGTTCAAGGCAAGTAAATCATTTATCAATAATTTTAAAAGAGAAAACAGAATATCATCAAGACGATGTAACAAAATAATTACTCGAACTAAACCAAACAAAAAAACGTGCAGTTTAGACGGTATGTAAACTTCTATTTCATCTTTAAGTACGTGTGTCTAAATGTAATGTGCGTATATATTTTAGATGCTCATAATTGGATCGAAAATAAAAGACCTTTAATATCAAAGTATTCTACGAATGAAATCTTAAACAGCGATCATTGTTCATTCCAACAAGAATATGTATCTCCAAGAACCCTATCTTTTACTGGTGAGAGAACAACAGAAGTAGCCGTTAAAAAGAAATATAATACAACTCATTCTTATACAATTCAACCCGTTACATTAGCCAATGGACATTTATTGGAAAAATTCTTACTTATACTTCAAGAAAAAGAAAATCAGTTCGGTCAAAGAGTAGAAAAAAAATTAATTATACCACCAAATGTTGTAGTAAAAGCTTCTAAATCTGGAAAAAGCAGTGGTGAAAAACATCACGCTTTTCTAACTGAAGTTCTACGTCCATTGGTAGGTAAAAAATTTCTTCTCTTCCTTGATTGTTGGAAAACGCAAGCTGATCTAACTAAATTTAGAGCAGTGTTTCCTAATCAAAACAGTCAGTTATTGATTTTTCCCGAGGGATCAACAGGCTATATTCAACCACAAGATCTTTCTTTATTTCGTTCATGGCGATTTATTCATGAAAAAATCGAGCATTATACTCATATCAATCGAACAGAAATGACTATAAGTGATCGT